ACATCCACTATAGCTGGTATTTTACTCCTGATTTATCTACTGTCACTCTCTTGAGTAAATGGGAATTTTTATGTAACAATAAAAACTTAATAACTAATATATCAATCCACGGTAAACATCTGCCAAAGGCAAGTGACATGAGCACAGCCCCTAAAATACCAGGGAAGGACAGCAATCGCAGAAGTAAAAGTGTTTATAACTTCAGATGCAGCACCTGCATCCTCAGTTCCAACGCAGCCCTTTTATCTCTGGCTCTGAAAGTGTTTCAGGGTAGTTTGGAGTTATCATCAAGAAATCACATATTCAGGACAAAGTGTTTGACAAATGCATGGGTGCCAGAAAGAAAGAGCTAAAAGCCTTTGCTTGGAAGTCACCTCTGCTCTCTCAGTGCCCTTCTGTCTCAACAATTCCACGATAACAAATCGGTCTACCCTGGGTTTGCCACCAGATTTTCTAGATAACAGTCAACTGACAAAATCTCTAGACAGAGCCCTGAATAATGATCACTCTGCAAATGGGCAATTCATGAACCCTCTGCTTCCACTATGGCTGCATCCACCTGCCTCTGTGAAAAGCACCATTTTCCGCACCAGTATGTTTTATGACACACAACAACTCTTCTCACTGGCAATATGGAATGAGGCGGGAAAACAAGCTTTAGAGACAGATCTGGATTATTTGTTGATGTATTTCTATTAATGCATGCTTGCCTTCTGTACCTTTGTAAACATCAACACACTCTGCCCCAAGTTCTTCTGCTGACCCCTTTCCATTAAATGAAGACTTATCTCCCTCCTTAGCAATCTTTTATTTTGCTCTTTATGTATAATTCTCTCACATATGAGAAACCATGTGATATTTCACCTCATGTGTCTGATTTATTTTACCTAATATTATGTCTCAAGATGAATCTATTTTCCTGCAAACTATCCCAGTGGAGTAGGATTCCATTGTGTGCAAAGCAAGCATGGCACTTTTGGTCTGTGAACTCTCAGAGAAACGGTTCAGCCGTTCTCAAACTCAGGTTCTTAATTTGTGAGACATGAATCATTACACCAACCACGCATAGCTGTGTGAAGGCGTCAATGATGTACATAATGGCTCTATTTTTAATTCCCAACACACTGCAAGATCTCAACAAAAATGAAAGTTATTACTGTCATTCTTCTGTGTCTTAGCCCACCATTGCTGCTATAACAAATTGCTGGGAAATTTATAATGAAAGAATTTACTTCTCATAGTGCTAGAGGCTGGAAAATCCAAGACCAAGTCTCCAACAGATTCAGTGCCTCATGAATTTTTGCTCTATGCTTCCAACTGATTCCTGTATCATTCAGAGGATGTGAACACTGGGTCCTCACAAAGTAAAGAGCCAAAAAGAGACAGCATCACCCCCTCAGAACTCTTTAATAAGGGCACTAACCCCATTCATTAGGGCAGCATCCTCATAATTCACTTACCTGCCAAACACACCTCCCACATCATAATACCATCACTCCAGAGAGTAAGTCCCAGTATATGAACTCGGAAGGAACACACACCTGTAGCTTAGCATTCCCTTAAAAGCACTTTCTTTGGACTGACTCCTGGAATAATTGCATTCTCTTAAAATGGTAGTCCCAGACATTGTAGGTCCTAATACATTATAGTTATGGTCATTTGGAATAGAAGACCAATTTTTGATGGAGCTGTTCCATGTAACTAATGGTGTCTCTCTCCTCCAGGAGGCCAGAATCTACTTCCTGAAATGCAGATCTTTATTTTGGGTATATGATGCCCCATCTCATAGGCTTCTAATATGCCAATTTAAACCTTTATTTTCAGAGAGACTAAATTAACACCTGCCTGTGAAGGTTGCAAATGAGAGTACTCCTGGTGTAAGAAAATGTGAGAGGGCTGGCAGGTGTCAGTAGGGCTGATAGATTTTTAGATGTATTAAAAAAAGAGGCTGCAATTATACTGTCTCTGCTCATGTCTGGTAACAGTTCTGGCTTTCTTGTAATACAATTTGGAGATCATTTTGGTTGTTTGAGGTGACTGAATATTTTTCTTTTCTGTAGTTATTTTTTTCTCAACTAATACATCATTATTCCTCAGCTGAGAAAGGTTTTAACCTTATTTTTTTTCTCCTCCTCCTCCTCCTCTTCTTCCTCCTCCTCCTCTTCTTCTTTTTGTCCTGGAGAATAATCTTATTTTCCACACTGAAGTCCACTCTTTGAAAAAACACCATACCATGGGCATCATTTCAATCTCTATCATCCAGGATGTTGGATTTACCTGGCAAAAGCCCCAGTATTAGGACTAAAAGCTAATCATAATATCAAAAGTGTTCGTAAAGACACTAGGTTCTCTCATGTAGAGTCTTACATCTAAACGGATATATAATAACATAAATGTGACAACACACACACATTTCTATGGTGTTACTGCTTGGGTAACTAAAAATCCTATGTTGAATCCTAAACCTTAAGGGAATGCTATTAAAAAGTGTAATCTTTTTAGGTCATGAGAAGAGAACCCTCATAGATGGGATTCATGTTTTTACAAAAGTGGTCCCAAAAAAGCACCTCTCCTTCCCACTGTGCAAAGACACAATCAGAAGCTGCCATCCCAATATATGAACTCGGAAGGAACACACACCCATAGCTTAGCATTCCCAAGCTGCCATGAATCAGAAAGTTAGCTCACTAGATGCTAAACCTGAATTTTGGATTCTTGGACTCTGGCATTGTGCAAAACAGATTTCTTTTGCTTCTAAGCCATGCAGTAAGTGACATTTTATTATAGCAGACCAAGTAAACAAAGACATAAACATGCTGCAAGCTCTTTGAAAACCAGTGAATTCACTTTCTTTGGGTCCCAAGCACTGGGGAAATACCTGGTGTCTAATGGACACTTGATGAAAGAACATGTAAAAAAAAAGAAAAAAAAAAAAAAAAAAAAACAAAGAACATGCGAGCCATGTTTGACATAATCACCGAAGAATGACGTAACAGAAATAAGCCTCTTCTGTCAAAGAGAAGAGTTTGGAAGAATGTGCAATAGAAGGATCAATAACAAATGAGTATGTCACTGCTGGGCTCCTTTCTTATACTACAGTTTCTCTGAAGAGCTCCCAACTGCTTTGCAACTGGCGTGGGTCTCAGGACACTAAATTAATGGGCCAAAAAAAAAAAAAAAAAAAAAAAAAAAAAAACTAAAAAAATTTTTGAAGCAGTGGAAAATGAATAGTAATTGTTACCCTCTTTAAAAGCCAGGAGAAGGGTGGATTCAGTCTTTGATGTGATGGGTGTTCATCACCTTATTTTCAGGATAATTCTTCTGGTGGGTCTTCTATAAATTACCCGCACAGTGAAATTCACAAACACTGAAGTCATATGGAACTTAGAATTCTTTGATTTTCAACAGCCAAGTTATACCCATTTAGAAAGTTCTCCTCTTTCCCAGTGTTTTTTTAGGGCAAGCTGGATATAAGCAGCTGTGTCTAGGATGTGGTATTTTTAGCTCTTCTTGTGTTCAACCACTGTGATGTCTCAGGCTTGGTGTCACATAGACAAACACAGCTGAGTTTGCCTCATCTGGAGAAGAAAGAAAACCATCTTCTTCCACCAGGATGTACACTTTCATCTTGTGTCTTAACCAGTACCTTGCACGATGCCAAAGTAAGAGATCCTGATAAATCTAGGATATGGATGGAAGGACATGTAAAATTAAAACTACTTTTGTCTGGAGTCTTTGGTGTTTTGTAATTTATTTTAAAGGGTTTAGTGTAATTTTAAGGGCTAGTAATGAGGAAAGCAAATTCTCCTTGTTGCTATTCTATTATATATCCTCAACACCTTACTCTACATTATGGGTTTGACATACCAGGCCAACAAAAAGTTTGAAGACTAATCACAAAAACATGTGCAAAGTCCAAGAGACTAAGCATACATATAGAAAATGAATTAGAAAATGTTTTCATATGCAAATATTTGGGAGGTGGAATTTTATTTAATTAAGTCATTGTGGTTGTTGTTTCTAAGTAGGACTCTACAAAAAAAAAAAAAAAAAAACCCTGATATTTTGGAGGGACCCTTTGCTGGGAAGGGGCTTTGGGATAAAAGTTATCGCTATCTGATATTAATCAAATGTTATTTTAATGTGAAAGCAGCTGAGGAATTTCACCTCCAACATTTACTGGTTTTCTTCTTGCTAAAGCTGGAGCATTGCAGCACTGCAGCTTCAGTTTCCTGACATTGGCATCAGCAAACAGCAATGAAATATCATAGTCACTTGGGTCATTACAAAAATAAACCCTGTAATTTCAGTGTTTAGTCAGTAAATGAATTCAATAATACGCACACGATAGTTTTCAAGGGGGTCATTTGGACTGTTTTTCTAATAAAATAGAGCCAAACTGTTGGAAGAAGCTGAAGGCCGCCTTCCTTAGACTGCACTCCTGGGACAGTCGGTCCCATGGTGAACGGCATTCGGGTTCTGATTCCTAAACGCCTGAGGTATTTGTTTTAGAGCCAGACACCAATTTCATGCTTCTTTCCAATGTTCAAGAAGAAGGTGGCAGCAACTATTTCTGCATGTATTGTAGTGCTGGTCGCGTAGCTAACAAGTCTACTCATATGTGAAAATCCATCTTCAAAATTCCATTTGTGAGCTGCAGCTTGAGTTGGTTTTATTTCTCTTCCCCGCCCCCTCCAGAGGAACCTGCTCCACCAGTTTTTACTAAATCCTTGAAAGAATGTTTTGTGACACAAAGAGAAGATTGTGACACAGGACCAGATAGGCAATTATAAGATAAAAGGTAAGTTTGTCTTTGGTTGTAAAATTACATACAATAGAAATACAGTGTGTGGCTGGAGGTTCTCTTACCCTGGAACTCTTAGGAAAGCAGAGGGAGCCGCTCACCTCCGAGGGCACTGGAAACATGCTGGGCTTGTAACCCAAGCTAATGAAAACAAGGGAATTTACAGCCCAGGCTGCCTTCTAATACCTGGGCTCCGCGGGGTGTCTTCAGATCTGCTTCCTTTGGTGCCCTCTGAGTCTGTGGGTGGGGGGTCCACGTAAATGCCGAGCTTCCTTAATGCTAGTTTCTGTCACAACCTCGGTGTACTTTGAGTTGTACTTTGAGAGTTTCTTGTTAGTGCATTTAATTTCCTCTCTTTAACAACACTAGTATGACCCGAATGCCAGAAGCTGCCACAGTGGACACTCAATTATCGCCTGACAGACGAGACCCCAAGCTGGTCATGGCTTTGCCTTCATTTGCAGACACCACTTATCACCGTGAATCAAATTTTGGAGGCGACCTCTTCATGAAAGTTTTTTTTTTTCCTAATATTAATCAGCACACCATTTCTTTCATGGCATTAATGAAACTCTTTGAAGGCTTTTAAACTTTTTAGTTAATTGTTTTCAAAGCAAGGCCAAGAAAGATAGCTTCTGTGTCAGATGATTAACATGACTTACAAGCAAAGATCTCCTACTGGGGAAAGGGTGAAAAGGGCAGATTCTGGAGGCACAAGGAGAAACCAGGGCTGTCTTTCCTCACGACAGCCTTTCCCACCCGCTTTGTGTAGACAGATCTGGGTCCTGCGGTGATACCCCCACGGATCACATGATGGTCCAAGCTGCTCTGAGATAAGGAGTCTTCTAGCCCTCCATAGCAATAAGAATACATCAGTTTCAGCAGCCTAATTGTTCAAGCAATGTAATTGTTCACATCCTGAAGTTCTCTTAGAGTTAAGGCTTCTTTCCTCCTCGCTCCTGGTCCCAGCCTGGGATGGAAGCTGTATGGAGAGGGATTTGGCTTCTCTGCCACCTCAAAGCCCGCTACGTTCTCATGCCACCTCTGTCCTCACTCAGCTGCTCTCAGCTCCTCCCATCTTGGAGAGGATGGTGGAAGAGGAGGAGGGGAGTGGACCTCAGAGGTCTGTGTGCCTCTGACCTAGGGTTTAATCCAGGCTAAACTTCTTGATGTGGGAAATGTCTGGTGAGTTTTTTGGAGACACAACCTCAGTGGTGATGACTCCCTTTGGTTCCGCGAGTGAGATCACAACATTCTACTTCTGGCTGCTATCACTACAGACACCACTCTGCCCCTCCAAACTCTTTCTGCTGGCAGCAAGTACACCCTGAGGTGGTCACTACAACCACAGCCCCTGGGCTGGGTCCCTGCCCCCCTGCCTTGCCTCCGGTCTTCAGGCTTTCCTTGTAGGACTGGCTACCTAACTGGCAAGATTTGGTGCAAAATGAACTTGTAGAGTCTCCTCCTAAAACAAAATAGTTAAGTGTTTCAAGATAGTAGAATAGAGTATCCAGTCAATAGGCCTTTTCAAGTATGGGGCCACTGAGGGTCCACTCCTCACTGGCTCCACACGGGTACCTACAGCCCCTCAGCAACGAGGTCTCTCAGGTCTTCCACATCACCCCAACATTTCCTCAGACAGAAGTGGCTCCTCTGGGTCGTCTTGACCAAGAACAAGTGCAGGGTAGCCCCCAGCAGCCCTGCACTTGGGACAAAGGGAGGAGAAGGTGGACACTCACTGTGTCTAAGGAAGGCATCTCCATGTCAGTAGCAGCAGCAGTTATGCCAGCAGATGAAAGGGATCTCACACATCCAGGTTGATGACTGCAACCTGTAACACAAAATACTGGTAAGGAGAAAAATCATAACAAATGTATTTCATATAAACTTCACATGACACAGGAGCCTTCAGAAATGGAGACTCCAGACAAACACGGAAAGTCATACCTATTTGAAGGGAAGAGTGGACGGGTGGCAGAGCTGCAGCTGGACATGGTGTGGGCCAATGGCAGTAAACAAGGAGCTTGGCCAGGTTCACATGTGTACCTTCTTTGAGTCCTCACTCTTTCCTACTGGGATGGAGAAGACCTTTCTCAAACATGGACCTTGGAACCGCCCTAAAAAGAGGTCACATAATTATTTCATGGTCTAGTCCTTGCTAAATGCCACAGCTCATGTGGCCAGACAGAATGCCCTGAACCTTCTTTTACCCTCCAAGTTCTGGGAGTTTGTCAGAAATCTAGCAAACAAAGAGTCTGCAGCCCCAGAGTGCACAGAATCACCTCATGATGTCACTTAGAGCTCTCCCTGGGTGCAGACTACCTTCTCCAGGGTCACTGGGAGATGTGACCAGCCCTGAGCCAGGCAGCACCCCTCTTCATGGCCACAGATGGAGACAGCACCAAGAGTGTGGAAAGGAACCCCTGGACAGAAAACTCTTCTGTTCCCAGCAAGCAAGAGGGAAGTGAGGTCCACTTCAGAACCTGGTGGCCACCATCCAATGACCACAGAATGGAAGTTCAGGATGGAAGTATAGAGCCCGCCACCCAATCCCACCTGCAGAACCCTCGCATCCAGCCACTTCCACCATGTGGAGTAAATGAGCCCGGAGGCTTCCTTTCTGCCCAAGCTGATTTGACTTAGGTTTTCCATGACTTATAACCAACAGAGTCTTCACTGTCGAAGCTACACACTCACCATTGCTAGTGTAGCATTTCAGGTTTTTCTTAGCAATAATTAATACAAACACAAGCTTTAGGCAGTATTAATATGCTGTGCGTTTTCACTGTGATTCCACCTATGGTGTCCAGCTGTTTCATTATGTTTCAAGGCGAGGCAACCATATCATTCCTTCACAGTGGGCAAAAGGAAGCCCACACTGCTTACAGAACTGTCCAACTGTCCAACACAATGGTGACAAATACAGAATGTCACTGACCTTGTCGAATACACATCCAAGAAAATATCAATGAACTAACATGAATGATAATTATAATTCATCCCTGGATGCTGATAAACAAAGTGGCATCCTTTATGTAGCCTGTGATGTTCTCCTTTAGTAACATGCATAACTTTTTTTCAAAGAAGTGTTTATAATGGTTGTTTTTTTGTAAAATCAGGGCTTTGCATTAGAACTGCCTTTTTGAAAACATGTGAAAGATAAATGAAGAAAAAAAATTGTCAGCAAAAATAGCATAAAGGATATTTGAATGCTGGACCCTGAGTCTCCGGCCTCCCAGTGAACTCTTGTGTTTAAGGAGAAACTGAGGCAGAGCTTGGTCCGAGGTGCCTCCCCCCAGCGCACTGGTATTGGCATGTAATCTTCTCCTCACCCACGGGTGCACTTCTGCAGGTGGGAGCAAAGTGAAACCTTATAGAGGCAACAGACAAGGACGGGAACAGCAGAGCAGCATCACATCCGTCCTCTTCTGTGCCTGGAGATGCACTGCCCCTGCTGCTCTCAACCACAGGCCGATGTTTGCTTTTTGTTATTTTTTTAAAAAGAACTGGAGAAGACCACAGTAGTTTTGATAATATTTGAAGTGTTCTGCCGCTACATTCGCGAGCTGCACTTTCTTGGAAGTGCAGAATGAAGAGCAGGAGGATGTACCTTCAGGCACGGACGGCCTCAGAAGGCCGCCAGAGCAGGCTGCAACTGAAAACTTGCACATTTCTGAAGATGCCGACAGGTGATGTGGATAACACCCCCACTTGGGGCCAATTTCTCCTGCGGTCCATCCACAAGGAGTCTTCTGTGAAGTCTTTGAGGGAAGAGGGAGAAACATTGTTCCTGGATGATGGGCCAGAGGTGTCCTCAACAAAATGTTCCAGAAACAAACAAAAATGAAGGGATTGTGAATCACAAGGTTCCCGTGAAAGGTCTCTCAATGGCATTCTGATAACAGATTGATTGATAGATAAATATAGATAAAATGATAGAGTGATAAGATGGTAGAGTGATAGAATAATAGATAGATACATAGATGGGTAGTAGATAGAGTGACAGAGTGATAGAGATGGAGCTGTCCTCCAAACAAGGCAATGTGATTCTCACGAGTGGGACCACAGATTTGAAAACATCTGCTGAAAAAGCAAAAGAAAACGAACGCTTCAGTCTAGGTGCAGATTTGGCAGAGCTATAAAAAGTAGACTAATGTGACCACAATGGCAGGATCAACTGTCAAGTTAGCCAAGCAATCTCTGCCTGCAAGCCTGTCCCCTACACGCACAAGTTTCCAGAATATTAACTGGCCACTGCACAAGGCTAGCTGGTCACTCTACATGAGCCCCTTATGCCAGCAGAATGGAGGTTCAGTGTACAAAATTTATTCAGTCACACTCCATGTCTCTTCAACCTCATTTCCCCATGTGTCATATGCCATCCACACACACAGATTCATACAAATTCCTCTCCTCTCACAGTCCAGTTGAGCTGGAGAGCTTGCCCCTGGGCCTTTGCACATAACTTCTCCTCTATTCAGAGCTCAGCCAGTGTTTTCTATGAAGCAAGAGGCAAATATTTTTGGCTACTTGCTATTGAAGAACACAGGCTCTGTACCACTGCTGTTATTGGACATAATTTAGTCAGCATAGCTATGTCCCAAAAAATCTTATGAAAGCTGCAACTTGAGTTTCATGGAATTTAGATGTGCCATATTGTGCCATATTGTGTACTTTTTTTCTTTACCTCCACCATTTCACTATATAAAAACCATTTTTAACTCCTAGCCCACACAAATCAGGCAGTAGCAGCTGGCACACAGACCACCCTCATCCACCCCACTGCCACAGCCTGACATTGGCTCACCGATGTGGCCTGCAGGCCTGCTCTCCATGTGGTCCACAGGGCTTTTAGGGCTGAGTGAGCACCACCCTGGCCAGGGCAGCTTGTCTCACCAGTGACATTTACTTTAGTGCTTTGAGAAGTGTTTACCGTGCTTGCCCTGCACCAGGAGTTTTGTAACCCACCAATGCCAAATGAATAAATAACAGCATAAAGTGCAAAGAAATTATTTTTTCCTTTCCTATTTTTTCTTTTTGATTCTAATTTTTAATTAGTAACTTTTTGAAGTACATAATAGTTACATTTATCATGGGGCGTTGGTCCATGTACATGACAGATATTCATTCCTTTTTCATACCTTTCCCCAATCCTCGCCTCTCTCCCTAAAATGGTTTACATCTAGATGTCTGCCTAAACCTTATGCGGTTATAGGTGGAGCTTCAGGGAGTATGATACTGGTTTGGTCCACTGATAGGATTCCCATAGCTCTGGGTGTGACCTAGTAAATTTTTTGGAGAAGGAAACCTGCCCTGCACATGGGTGGCGCTAATTGATAACCTCATAAGCTGAGTAGGATAAAAAGGGAGAGAAGAAGAAAGGCTACTGCTTCCTGGCTTCCCTGACATGGACCATTCCTCCTCTGCATGCCTCTCTAGCAAGGCCCCCTGCCATGGAGCCAGCTGACTATGGACTAAAACCTCTACACACCGTGAGCTAAAACCTTTCTTCCTTTAACTTGTGGATTTCGGCTACAATGGTACCTCAGTTCACAAACTTAATTCACTCCACATTTGTGAGGAAGACAGTGGTAGCTGTGTTCATCACCCAGTGCAGAGTTCATGAACAGAAGCAAATTTTTGTCAAACACTTCAGTTTGCAGAATGAATTGTTCACAAACAGAAATGTTCATGAACCAAGCTATTATTATATTTTGTTTCAGCAACAAGGTGAGAAACTTCCCTCTATGTCTTGGTGTCCTTCCAATTTGCAAAAGATTTATCTCCCTATTCCTTGTTACATATGTTTCGCTTTGTTCTTTATTTTTTTGCATTTCTCATATAAGTGAAACCATGTGACATCTAAACTTGTGTCTCTGGTTTACACTTAATATTATGGTCTCCATATGCATCCACGTTCCTACGAATGTCTCAAGTTTACCCTTCTTTATGGCAGAGTAGTCCTCCACCATATGTCTTGTGAGTCATTCTTCACTGAATAAAAGGCACCAGCCACAGCTGGACTGGGAGACAGTCTGCCTGGGGAGCCGGGCGCTGCCCATGTGGAACTCAGGTTCTGTGTCCTTGATAATTGCCAATATAACCTGGATCCAGGTGTGGCCACAGGACTCATACTCCAAACATCCCACAACTGCTAGGTGTCAGGATTCCAGCTGGGAACGGGACAAAGATCCTCTTTTCCCCAGGGACCTTGCAGCCTGGTATAGAAGAAAGATTGCAACAGCTGGTCTGATGCAAAAGAAGACTGAGGTGATGGAGCCCTGAGCACAGGAAGCTGGGGGTGGGAGGCAGGGTGGTCCGGAAAGTGCCATGCACACAAGGCTCAAGTTGACCCCCAGACACAGAATAGGGCAAGGTGTCTCAGCAGGAGGAACAGCTTGTAGAAGGCTCAGAGGTGGCAGAGAGCGAGGGAAGATAGTTCAGCACCTCTCTATGAAAGCCACAGTGGGCCTCCCAGTGTCCCAGGCCCTAGCTTCAGCAGTGAACCGAGCCGGCACCAGCCCCTGCCAGCCACAGCCACCTCAGGTCTTCCCTTCAGCCCAGCTCCCTGCTCTGTGATTCCTGGATCACAGTGCTTTGCATTCAGTGAGCGTCAGTGGGAATTCCCACCTTTCCTTCCTTTAGCTCCACGCACTCTAAGGGCTTCACTCACTGCAGAACTGCTGGCTAAGCACCATGTGCCCGCTTTGTGTGAGGCATGGGGACCAGGTCACTATGAAAGAGACACAGAGCCTCACATTGCAGTCTTGCACAGCGAAGCAGGGGCAAGAAGAGGGGGCCCCACGCACAGGGATAGTGAAGGAGTTAGTGATGCCGGAGGCACTGTGAGGGGAAGGGGCGGTGGACAGCATCATAGGAACACAAGGTTGAGGCTGCGAAGGACTGGGGTGAGAGCACACCAGGAAGGTGACAGCAGAGGCGGGGGGCAGAGGGACCTGGCCACAGTGTCTCTAGGAAAAGGGGACAACCAATGTGTAAGCCATCAGGGGGCAGGGACTGTCACCCATTCCCTCAGCCAGGGTGGCATGGCAAAGCACAGTGAGAGACAGATCAGAAATGAGGAAGAGGGTCTTTGGGACCCTGACCCACTGCAACT